CAATTCAAACTAACATAAATTTCTATTGAAATTTCAGATTTTTGAATCTAAATCAAAACTAAATCAATAAATATCATCGAAGCAAATGTTTACAATTCCACGATCACAAGCTAATTTTGAACAAGACAAACAACGTGGAGATTTATTTACATGGACATTATCATTTAATCAACGTTCAAGTGCACTTTGTTCTATGATATGATTTTTAAATGATTGTTCAACAGGTGACGATCATTTAGTTACTGATGATTTTCTTAAACATATGTTAAGTCCAATTGAAAATGCCATACTTGTACTTGTTCATATACTAAATTTTTAATTAAACAATTTGGTCTAAAAACTAAAAGCACCAACAGCTATGTTTCGTTTACATTTATATAAACTTCTCTTTCATTTACACCAATTAAACTTTATAAATAACATTCTAAGGTTTTATTAAGAGAATTAGTTGCAGAATTTATATTAACTGATAATTCATCAAATCCAACAACATCTTTACTTCGATCAGTATGTCATGATAATAGAGTCAGTCGAACACGAAGTGACTATTGATGATCAGATAAAGTCATTTTCTTATCCATTATGCTCGGTATCTTTCAGTAAATTCGAAACAGATCGTGAGCATTTTGTTTCTACTGAACATCAATATAAACATCGGCGTGATGCAAAGAAACATCTTGGGGTTTGTTATATTTTTTCATCTAAAAAAATTTATTTTCCTTTTTCATTTTAAAGAAGAATATGATATTGAAACGTCACCAGTTGAAATATTTGTTAATTTATTACTTTATAATAAAGTAAGAAATAATAAATATTGACAAAAAATATATTCATTAAAATTTGTTAGATACTATTTGAAAGTGTTTAAATTGATATTCAACCCTCAAGATTTTAGTGTAACTGGTTCATTGGAATATAATGATGTTAGATATGAACATCAACATGTATCAACACTTAATGATTTATACCAATCATTTGTTCAGAAATTTAATCAAGATTATGAAAAATATCAATAAAAAAAATACTACCACAAAGTTTTTTTGTTGCACGAGGTAGAGAAAGATTTTTGTTTTTTTTGGGATTAAATGAAAAGATTATATATTAAACATATTTAGATATCTGTCGAAAAGAAGTAGATTATACATTGACTATACCATGTTATTGTCATGATATAGGAAAATCTAATGAACAAATTATTAAAGTATGAAAATAAAAGTTTGGATCTTTTAGTTTATTCAATAATTAATGAAAGTTAAATAACTGAAAAGATTTATATTAGTTTCATTAAATAAAAGGTCATCTAGAAATGTCTGATTACGAATAAATATTGATAGGAATCAATGTAGAGAGTCATAGATTTGACTGTTCAAAACGAATTTGTGACGTTGCATAAATTGATAGCTGGAATTCATCGGCTAAAATCCAGATTGGACTCGATAGTTGCTATTCTAAAAGTAATAGCGAATTTTAACTTTATTCTTATAAGATCACCATCACGATTTCCGAAGAATTCTATAAGAAGTGCTAGTCGTTTCTTTATAGAGCTAACAATCTTTTTTTTCTCAAGACTATTGACTGACCATTTGACTATTAACAGGTGTTGTTAAATGGAACGAGGGACTATGCAGTATCATAGCTGCTTTCGAATGGACATAGTCACAGCTCTCTCTCTGTCTCTCTTGTTCCTATCAAAGTTATTCATAATCAAAGACTACCGAATGACTTCTAGATGACTCTGTGGAGGTGTTAAAGAAAACTGTATAACTCTTGGTATCGGTAATGAGCTGCATGGCTTGAATTTAGCGAGAAGTCAGCTTCTTTCCATTCTATCACATACGATCAATCCGTAGACTCTATACATATCAAAGTCTACAAAAATCAGTAAAAGAAATATCTTCGAAGTTTTTAAATGATGATTTCTATTCGAATTTCAACTTATAGATGAAACTGTCTATAATTTTCTGGTTGAAAAATGTCAACTCATAAGCTCAGTTTTGTTTTCTCAATATCATTCGAAGATCAAATACAGTTGCTCAATGTAGACCTTTTCTTCAGTAATTTTTATAATTAAGTATCGATAGTTAGTCATGCTTAATCAGATTGTTTTAGGTAAGGTAATGATAGAAAGCGAGTTCTGTTTGTATTCTTAGATATTTTCTCGAATATTTTTTTTTTTAGGAAGTTTTGGATTTTTGTGTATATACAAATGTTGAATCAGAACGTAAATGTTTAATAGGACATTCCATTCAAATATGGAGTATGTTTCATCGTCAATAAATAAAATCTGGTTTTTGATTAGTAAACGAAAAAATCTTTTCTTATTTGTTCACAAATATATTTTCAAGTGTGATATTTGTAAACAATGTTTTCGAAAACGAAAAGCAATTATTTGTGTAAATCAATTAAAATAAAATATATTTTCTTTATTATATTTTTGTTTTTTTGCAAAACATTTTGAAATAAGTAAAAAAAAAATCATGAAAATAATTTAAAGCATCTTTCACCATATCGACGTACTGTTCAACATATAAATTTTACCATAACTTTATTTCTATCTGATATTTCTTTGGGAGATAGGCATGAGGGATTGGACAAATAATGTGTTGCATACCAGTGGATTCCACTAAGATGCAAATATTTCAAAAATGAGAAAAGCTAGTAACGTGTCACTTTCAGCAATCGAAAATGATCAAATCAATAAATCTTTTTTATAAAGAAAAATTTGACTTGAGATGTTTATTAGCTTCATACTAGACTCAAAGATGAGTGAAACACGTTTTTTTCCCTGTTTTTCGAAACTATTGACAGAATGTCAAATTTTTGTGATACGACGTCAGCTAAAATGAAAATAAAGTTATGCATAGATAGAGCATTCAAAAATGATATAAGAAAGCTAATTAAACATGTTTTACTTTTTTGATTTGAAGCCAAAGAATAAGGAAAGAAGAAAAGGCAAATATGAGGAATAATCATAAAAACACATGAAATAGGCAAAAAAAAGACTAGTTTATTTTCTAAACCATTTGCAAACGACAAGAGATAGAAACCTGATTTTAGCAGTATAAATAGAGCATGATTGATAGATACTTTAATATTAATTTCGAGTGATTTGAGTGAATAAAAGCTGAGATATAGACAAGGTCATTTTTGGTGGTCAAACAATACAATAAATAGTAGAATAATTAATATATTCATAGTAGATTTCGATAAAATATTTCGGTTCCCTTTTTTTTTTTTTTTATTGATTTCGAATAAAATTTAAGTCTCATATCATCTGATTATATTCTTCTAAATAATTACCAGCTAGTACATTACGAAACAAAAAAGAAAAAAACTTGCAAAATCTATGTGTTCAACTAGTGTCTTGCGGGAACGATTTTTTTTGTCGAATTTTCCCGTCCCGTTTGCCGCGGTAATTGGGAATGGGAATTTCCGTAAAGAATTCGAGAATGAAAACATGAGAACGAGAACGACGCTAAAAACTGACGTTCCAGAAAATTTTTGTTTTAATTTCATATCTATCAAAATATATTTATGAACAGCTTTTTATTTTTAACCTAATCAAACTTACATGCTTACAAGCGCATGTACAAGCAGAAGATTTTTTCGTAGATAAAATTCGAGTTCACATACTCTTTTTTTTATAAGAAGAACTTCGACACCATTCGACTATCAATATACATTAGACGTACGATAAAATCTAAAGAGTATAATGATCATCAGGGAACTACTAAGTACACATGCTTATGGTGGGGTGTGGATATACTAAGAAAGACTCCCATCCACACCCACATCCTCTTTTAAAAAATCAATTTCATTATATTTAGGTCAATCGATGATTACATACAAATGTATCTTTTCTTTTTGTTTTTTTTTTTTCATATGTGATCGCCTCTTTAGTCAAGGGAATAGAGAGAGAAACAAAATATATTATTCGAATGATTATCCATTCATTCATCATCAATTAAGATTATAGAAAAATGTATCATTGTTTCTATGGACGACATCGGTCAGATAGAGAATATTTGAGTATGTCAATATAAATATATTGACATTTATCAGATGAGTAAAATAGATATAGATATAGATAATCATGGAATATTCATCTATTCAATTGAATGATTTACCAGATGAAATTCTTATTTATATTTTTAAAAAATTGTCTAATGCAGAAATACTTTATTCTTTATCAGGTGTCAATAAACGATTAAATAAAATTGTACATGACTCGATTTTTACAAATGATTTGTCTCTTTTTATGTCAACATCGGATGGTTTAGTTTATTCATTATCTGATCTAATACTTGATCGATTTTATTCACATATTTTACCTTCGATTCATCAAAAAATCCAATGGCTTCATCTTGAATCAGTTTCAATGGAACGTATTCTTCATGTTAAAAATTATCCTAATTTATATGGAATTAGTTTACATAATATTCAAGAAAAAAAAGCTATAGATCTTTTTACTAGTAAGATATTTTTTTTTTCTTTCAATAATAGACATATGAAATCTATAAATGAAATAAATTCATAGATAAATATTTGGTTTCATTAATTAGATAATTAGAGATATGATTAAGTTTAAAATGATTTTTCATTTGATTCCTATTTATCAGTATGAAGAGAAGAAGATTGTCATAAAAGAGATGATCTTTCATGAAATTTATGTACTTATATAGAAAATAAAAGACGTAGATATTATCTCTAATTTAAAGTTTCAAATAAATTTTTGAAAAAGAATATGTCGAATAAAATAGATAGTTAATATAACATTTGAGATACAGTATAAAAAAATTAGTCTAAAGAAAAAAAATCAAATATGTAAATTATATCATTATTAAAAAAATCAATAAACTATACATAAATATAATCATTCATATAAAAGAATTTTTTACTCTTCTCATTGTTTAGATGAAACTTCCATAATTCGTAAATTGAATAATCAACTTTTATCACTTACTATCGATATTAGTACAAACAGAACACAAGATTATCTAACAAACAATAATGCAATTATATTTAATCGTATCTTTACTATGTTTCCTAATTTACAATATTTAAATTTTGGTCGATCTTCAATTCGCGATGAACGATTATCCTTTTCTTTTACACGTCTAACTGTTATTTCTACAAATTTGTTAGAATTACATGTCTGTTTGGATACTTTTCATGATTGTCTTTATTTACTTGATGGACATTTCAATCAACTTCATACACTTTATGTTGATCTCAGTGTCATTGGCTATGAGAAGAGAAGAGTTAACAACATAGTAAATTATTTTTTGAATTAATATCCAATTTAAATGAATTAATAATATTGTTTTTTTTTCTAGGAAAAACTACCTAGTTTAAAATCCTTTTGGTTACACTGTGAAACAATAACATTTGTTTATGATGAATTAGTTTTACCACTTTTATATCGAATGTCAAATTTAGAAAAGCTTGATTTGTATATTTATGTTGGTAAAAGAAAAACATTTTTTGATGGTAATGATTTCAAGATGAATATTATTAATTATATGCCACAATTAAACAAATTCACATTTAATATTTGTTCATTAAGTAGCTTTTATAATGATATTAATTTACCATCAAATGAAGATATTCAAAAGACATTTAGTAACTTTAATAATAAACAAATTATCTATTGGACTGATTATTTTCCAAAAGTAAAAAATGGTTATTGTCATATTTATTCATATCCATATCAACTGAAATATTATAATAATATAACAAATAATTTTCAAGGTGGAATATTTAAATATGTTCGTCAAGTGTCATTATATGATGAACGTCCTTTTGAACATGAATTTTTCCTTCGAATTGCTGAATCATTTCCATTCATGGAAGAATTAACTATACATAATGAACAACGACAAATTAATAAACAATTTAGAAAATCAAAGAATGAAAATCAAGACTTACCAATCATTAAATATCCTTATCTTAAACAACTTGATCTTATCAATACGTGCATAGATTATTATGAACAATTCTTATTCGATACTAAAATCAATTTAGCATTTGGTGTTCGTGTTTATATGGTTTATGAATTAGTGAAACAAGTGACACGCAATTTCACAAGAAATAGAACAAGAACTAATTGTGCGAAGATTAATTGCGTAAATTTATCTGCAGAAATACAATATCCTAGATATTCTGATAATTCTGGTGAAAAACAACAACTTCTTGAATATATAAAAGACTATTTTCCTCATACACAAATAAATTAATTATTGTTAATTTGTTATTTAAATAAAAGATGAATAAAAGTAGATTGATTTACATAGAATTAAGCAGCATTGAAACAGAGAGATAGAAGTAATAAAGAATAATGATTGAAAATAGATATTGGATAGGAAATTGTTACAAATGAAAATATCCTATCTGTCTGTGTATATACTTTAAAAAAAAAATTGAAATAACGGGTAATGCAAAAGTTTTGCATTAATTTTCTTTTCAGTATAGCATGGCAACGAATATTCATAGAGATTTAATCTTTATTTTGCTAGAAAGAGCAAGATGTCTACTACAAAAGTATGTAAAAATATTTGATTCAAAATGGTTACCAAAGACTAAAAAGTCTTAAGAATAAGTTTGACCCAAAAAAGTGCCTTTCAACTTAACTCAAAACTAGAGACGAGAAATGCATTTGTTTTATTTTTTTTTGTACTCGGCTTTCGATGTTGGGAGGCACATTATATGTGAGTCTGACCAATGCAACGTGGACTTTTTAATCATACAAAAACATTCCAGTTAGAAAACTACAGACTTCAAAGGAAACAGTTTTATTAAAAAGTTGATTGTTCGTTTACAATGTTCAATGAAGGTTTTCTCATAATGTCTAACAGAGAAACTAAATTCTGTTTTATATAATTTGTTTTTGTAGAGGACTCAATAAGCTTTAATTGCATATAAAATCGGCGGTTTCTGCTAACTTCAATATTGGAAGAAATCTTATTTTTCGAAGTCATTGAATAGTTGTGAAAAATTTGCACTAACAAAAGATTTTAGAAAAATGTTGATTTCGAACTCAACCGGTCACTTGAAAATCTTATTTTTGCGCGTTTACAATGTCCGATCGTAGTGCTACAAAACTCGATAAAAGCTGAAAGAAAAGACCAACTTTCTTTCTAGATGAAATTTCTTCTTCTGAATTCCAGAAGTTGAAAGGTACTTATCCAGTCCAACGTGTTCTTAAGACTTTTTAGTTTTTAGTAAATATTTTGAATCAAATATTTTTTATTCAATTTTCTATTAGACAGTTACCTCTTTCTAACGAGAAAAAGATCAAGTCTCTATAACGATTCGTTGTCACGCTAAACTGAAAAGAAAATTAATGCAGAACTTTTGCATCATCCGTTAGTTTTAGAAATAAATAGTTTGTGTAATTAACATCAGATAAAACGCAAAAAAAGTTTCTGATCTACAAATGTTTATTATGGAAGTTAATAGAGAAGAATTTATTAAAATTATTGTCATGAATTACAGAAAGAAAATGAAGACTAAAATTTTTGACATTTTTCCTTTCTTTTTATGCATTGTGATTCGTTACAGCTAACATTATCTTGTTACATATATATAATCACTTTGTTAAACCATATATGATGAAATTGATTGATCAACATAATTATTTGATGATGATTATGAAGTAAACCAAACAATAAGAACGAACATTTAAAGAATAAGTAACAAATATAATGAAAGGACGATTTTATTGTAAAACAAAAAATGATTGATCATTATTATTGAAAAGCTTAGAATTTCTGTTGATATTGACTAATAATAACATGATTAATATTTGTATTTAATTCCACTAAATGTTTATTCATATGTATAACAAATAATAATTTTTTTGTTTTTTCTTCTATGAAAAATATTTATGATGATTTATCTTCTTGTTTTAATTTACTATTTGGTATGAGAACTTGTTATTGTACTTTCTTTATCGAAATAAATTAAGTAAATAACTGAAGCTAGTAATGATATATTAATATATAATTATTGAGTTTAGTAGATTGAAAAAAAATTCGAAACATCAGTTGATCTGCAGGCCAGAAAAAAAGTAGCCTATTGGCAAGACTGATTAGAAACGATGATTTTTCTTGATTTAGAAGAATACAAAAAATTTCTTTAACAAAATGCTCATTATAAACAGATTATAAACATTTATAACATTGATTTAGAGTTTTTTTATCTTTTAAACGGTCATAATTTGAATATGATTTTCTCCATCATAGAATAACAAACAAGAGCTAATGTATTTGGCATATCAGTGTGTAAAAATTTCGATGTTTTCGAACATAAATCAAGATGATGAGTAGTTAAACTTGTCATTAATTTTAAGCGACGTTTATGTTTTTTACTCTTATTTCAATTAACATTTTTCTTCTTTCATACTATTAGGGCATTTCAAACAGCAATAAGTCATTGCATTACTTATCAAAAATTTTTTCACCTTTGTATAATTTTGTTAGTTGATCAAGACAAACATTTATCATTGACATAAAAAATGACAATGAATCTTTTTAATAACCGACTTCAAATTTTAAATAATAAAAAATGCAAGTATTTTCTGAAACTGAATAATTCCAAAATATTTTCATTAAATTTATTTTTCCTGTAATGAAATCAAAAATCACTCCGATTAATAGCATTATAGTTTAAAAAAAGAGAGTAAATATTTTGCGGTAGAGTTAACTTTGTTCTTCGTAAAATATTTGTTGTTAGCGCGAGATTCAATGTGCATGTATCCTGTGATTGAGACCATATAATAATGACAATTACTTGTATAAAATGAGAAATGATATGCTATTGAATATTTTTTTTAAATACATACAAATTTCAAGAGTACTTCATCGATACTTGGAAATAAAGGTTGGTTATTCGAACTTGTTTGTCACATACTTCTTTGAGTAATTGCTGCATATATATATATATATCAAGAAAATAAATCATACAATTCTTTTTAATTAAAGTAAAAATCAATCAATTTATATAGGTATAGTAATATTAAGACAGGGTCCATGAAATCACCACCCAAAATAGTAGAGACAAGTTGCCGAAAAATTTTACTTTTTGAAATGAGTTTGCTAGTTTGAGAGAGCATAAAAAGTTACTCAGAAACCCAAATTTTTACAACTTTTGGGCAATGCCTTCATATACTTCGGCGACCTAAAAGTTTTGACTCAAAATATCGGTCTGTCAAAAGCTATAGTTTTTCAATCATTTTGTTTATGAACTTTTTCACCACACAAACTTCACCAAAATCATTATCAAATTATACTAATCGATAGAGCGGAAGCCGCTCTACAAAATTCTTTATTTCCTATATGTCACTACTTACTTTCTAAAACGAAAAAAATCATTATAATAGGTGAAGTCAACCAATTTTTGGCCTATTTTAGATGCTGTGTTTTACTATTCTTGCTTATGTCATGCAGTTAATTTTTAAGAGCCTAAAATAAATTTTACATAGTTTTGTAGAGCGTCAAAAGGCGCATCTTTTGATAAAAAAATATTGGTTCTAAAGTACTAGCAAGGTCCCGAAAAGTCCATGATAATGCTGATTATTGCACGGGTTCGAAAAAGAATTTTTGCCGCCATTCTATGAGAAGTCCATATAGTTCGATAGAGCTTAGTGTGCTGATGACAAATATCACATTTTTTTTAAAAATTAGTCTGATAATAAGAAAGATCTGAAGCACTTTCTGAAAGTTCTAAAGCTAGTTTTTGATCTGTAGATCCATGAAAACCCTACTCACGAGGGAAGGTCACCAACTGTCTCCTCGCTTTTGAGCTGAAACTCAGTTAACAATAGGTAATCGAACGTGCTGATTACGAATATCACAATGGTTTTTGCCCGCTTTCGATTTAAAGACCTGTTTTTTAAAGATATTGGTTTCTCAACCGAAAAACCATTTTCACTAAAAAATTTTGTTGACCTGTCCAAATGAAAGAGCACGTCGTCAAACCTACAGAAAACAATTTTTCAAAGTTCTAAGCGAGTTTTCTGCGTCTAAAACTTAAAAAAAGAGGGAAAAACCGCTAATATTTTTACACAATTGACGAAAGAAAAACTACTATTATTCATTCTGTTCTGTTTTTTTACTTATCAAAGGCGTTCAAAGAGGAAGGTTGCATGCATGTGTTAGACATGATATACATAATGATACATTCAAATTTCACAAGAATTTGGTAAAAAGGAAAAACTGAGCACAGATAGCAGCTATAGAAAAATTTTCAAAGCATGTGAGATGCATAATTCAGTGCAAAGAACAGAGAACGGAAGAAAAATATTTATAAGAGCAGCAGTCTATAAAAATATATGTAATTTTAACACTCTTATGGAGTGTCAGAGTTATATAACGTTTTAGACGCAGAAAACTCGCTCAAAACCTCGCTTAGTACCTTGAAAAATTGTTTTCTGTAGGTTTGACGACGTGCTCTTTCATTTGGACAGGTCAAGAAAATTTTTTAGTGAAAATGGTTTTTCGGTTGAGAAACCAATATCTTTAAAAAACAGGTCTTTAAATCGAAAGCGGGCAAAAACCATTGTGATATTCGTAATCAGTACGTTCGATTATCTATTGTCAACTGAGTTTCAGCTCAAAAGCGAGGAGACAGTTGGTGGCCTTCTCTCGTTAGCTGATCCGATTTGGCCGCCAGCAAAACTATTCTAATTCTAACTTCTATAGACATAAACATTTTATCTGAAAACTTTAATGAATATATGATCAAACTTTAAAAGAAAATATTTAAATCCATTGAAGTGCTGAGGAACTATTCACAATTTTTGTTTTTCATTCGAACTTTTGGAACACCCTGTACATTGCATAGGTACAATTAAAACTATAAAACAATATATAATCATTTTTTCTTTAAAATATTGTACTAGTTGTGATTAATGTTAATCTTTTTTTTTTTTACTAAAGCTCAATAGTTTTTTGATCACTTAGATTAACGAAAATTTTTTTTGGTATGTTTTCGAAGAGTAGGATAATTGTAGATTTGTTTTTCGTATTAGATCAGAGTTGATAGTGTTTAAAAAATGATTATTTAAATAATACATGTAGTTATTAATAAAATTCGATCGATTGAATAATCTATGGTATTGTTTTTTTTCTTCTTCGTGTATCTTTTCATAATATTTTAATTCGTCATTAGAAATAACCATATTGTTCAGTACGTTCTTTCGTCATGTCATTGATGAAAATAGTCACATTATATAAAA